GCCGAGAAAATACATTGCACTGATTAAGGCACTCTACTCGTACTCATGCAGCCAGGTGAGGGCTTATGGCGAGTTATCATCTGAAGTGGTGACGACTAGTGGCGTCCGTCAAGGATGCCCATTATCCCCATTCCTACTCAACTTCATTATAGACGTACTAATGGACTTAACCCTAACACACTTCAGCGACTCAGGGATTGACTTGCTACCAGGGAAGAATCTCGTTGACTGAGAATATGCGGACGATATAGTCCTTCTAGGCGAGGACTCTGACAAAATGCAGAGTCTACTGAACACCTTGAGCAACAATCTTCGTATGTTTGGCATGCGATTCGCCCCTGTAAAATGTAAGATGATTCTGCAGGGCTGGGCTTCACCGAACCCAGATTAGAAATAGGAAGTGAAGTGGTAGAACACGTTGACCGCTTCAATTACTTGGGAAGTACCATCAGCTCCAACGGGTTGATCTCAGACGAAATTTCAGCACGAATAAAGAGTGCTAGGTTCGCATACGCCAGTTTTCGCCGTCTCTGGCGTAGACGCGATATCCGACTATCGACCGAAGGGCGTGTGTACTGCTCAACAGTCCGCTCCGTCCTCCTTTATGGCTGTGAGACCTGGCCATTGAGAGCAGAAGACATGAATAGATTAGCTGTGTTCGATCATAGGTGTCTGTGTTCTATCTCCCGCGTGAAGTGGTATAATAAGGTGAGCAATATTGAGGTTAGGCGTCGAGTGCTAGGTAAGGCGAAGAAATCAGTCGACGAGACTGTGAAATTACATCGACTGAGATGGTTAGGACATGTGCTACGTCTGCCTAGTCATCGCCTCCCTCGACGGGCAATGTTAGCTGATATAGGGCCAGGCTGGAAAAGAGCTAGCGGCGGTCAAACAAAAACATGGCACCAGTCAATGAAATCCACAACAGATAGTCTAGGCCACGTAGGAAGATGTAGACTTCCTGGTTGGGGTCCTCGAAACGGTAAAAACCAATGGTTGGAAACAATTGGTGACATGGCTCAAAATCGTTCTCAATGGCGCAGATGCATCCACTCCTTGTGACTTATGATTTCCAATTAAACTGTTTTGTTCTCCTTTATTACTATTCCTTTGTCTCACACCTCTGTTTACTGTCTATATTATGCATTTCTCCTACTTTCTTCTGTTGCTTTGCGCGCTACATGGAGTGTAGCGACTCGAACTGCTGCACATATGTGCAAAGTTCTATGTCGGAAACCGACCGGCCGACCGGCCGACATAGTATAGCGACGCACTGAAAAAGTCTAGAGGAAGTAGAATTGAAGAGTATATTAAACATTCCATTAATTTACAAAAGAAAATCCCGATGAGGAATATTAACGTTAGTTTGACCGAATGATATTTCCGCTGATTTCATATTCGACAACCTCCGTATACCTGAAAAAATAAAGCGCATGTAAGGACTAGCACAACATGGAGTTATGAAAGATAATTCTACATATCAGCACAAACTATGCATATACTGATTCTATTAATACTAAGTAATATCTCATGCAAATAAATGTATTTGTAGTTTACAGCTGGTTTTTATATTGACACTATAAGCATCAATAGACCTCATATGTTTACCAGTATTAAAGGATTACACGCAAATATCAAGACAATCTTTGAAGCTTCCATACTGTTGAGGCGTCATACTCTCATTAACCTTAGTCGCAGACCAACTTCACACTATATACGTTTACATTAAATGAAGTATTGCAAATGTGTAACTTAGAAATTGATCCATAATCTCAGTAATGTCTAATGAGCATAGTTTTATGAATCCTACAGAAATTACATCCTCACATTAAGGAATCTGTAGCCATCAAATATAAGCTGAACATGCTTCAACTCTAAACAGCTATGCACAGTGTTAGCAGCATAGAAAACACTTGAAATATTGTAAGATACACAGACCTGTTGTGTTGATGAGGATAACAATGACATATAATGCAACCTAAACATTTGGTAGTGACAATGCATCTGTACTGCTTCGTGTTAATGGAAAATTCAGGAAACATTCATCACCACTATTGGTGATCAAAAACATTGCAGCATTAAGTTTACAGTGCCAATGAGAATGGCATAACAGACAGTAGATTGATAGTAATAGAGCTGACTAGATTCAGTTCTCATAATCGACACAATCCATGTGTATAATAATACTATACACTGAATTAATGCACTAAGCGACACAGTAAGGAAATTTGAACGAGTGATTGCCTTCTCCACTGCACTGCACTTGCAGTAATCATGGCAACCAACTACGTTTGCTAGCCAAGCAGTCAGCTAAGTACACAATGGCACAATATTAATAAAGTTGAGATATTTTTTATACATTGAGTCCACATAACTCATATTACGCTACACCAAACAGTGCAAATATACATGAAATACACTTAGAAATAACCTCTCAACTTACGATAATTCCTGTCCAAACACACATACAGTGAGACACATCTACATGATTACTTCTATTCCCACAGAAGGTTCTGATAGAATTCTTTTGTCAAAAAGGACTGTTCTTCACACGAAAATAGGCTGAATTAATATCCTGAGACGTGAAGTCTCCATTTAATGATATTATGCCGAAAGGTGCAGCATCTAAATAAAGTAGACTATTTGTGTAGATGACGTTAAACTTCAACTATCCTATCTTTCTCATTATAGCGATATTTTGCTACGGTTTGCCTGAAATACTGATCGATGCAACCAATATGCTAGGGGGTGTCGCAGTCGGATTACATGACGCGGACACCAACATAACTGGCCAGAAAATGGGAATTCCCATCAATCCAGATAACATATAACACAATTTCATTAAAAATTGTTGACAAAAAAATTTCTAAGTGAAATTTTAACAGCTGTTCTTGAACGTGATATTTAAGGCCAGCCCTCATTGTCATAGTACAACACATTATCAGTGATCACACAATTATCAAGAGAAGCACTGAACTTAGAGACTGAACATGGACAAAGACGAATAACAGGGATCGGACCAATGTGATATTCGAATGCTACTACAGTGAGTTTCAGTCCAGGGAAAAAACGGATAATATTTAAAAGTTTGTCGTAAACTTCAAATAAGTACAAATGTCGTTATTACGTCTTCTAGAAGGGATGTTCCAGACAATCTTTCCGTCACATACCATTTATTTTTTCGCTTGAATTCACATCTCTGCTAGCTACTTGGCTGTGTAAGGACGCGGGATAGCCATAAAACTGGAGGTTAATATTATAATTACGTGGTGCGTTTGTTGAATAGATCAATTTTGCAGTATCTCTGATGTTTTGATCGCCAACTTTAGTCATTTTTAAATGCTATGGTCTTTCGTTTGGCTGTTTCACTGAAGCTTGCAAGTTCGTATCTTTGTTGTGAATAATCTGTGTAGGGTCTGAAAATGTATGAATTCATGAAGGATAACAAACATTTGGGAGCGGAAATGATAGCAAACCAATCCGGTCAAATTGCTCCTCAGATACAGCTACCTTCTCTTAAAGATTATACAGTTAGTACCGCCTTCAGACAGCTGTTGCCAAGCGCAGTAGGTTTTGACTTAGTTCTAACCTTAGCGGAGTAAAACTGGACAACATTCTGGAATAGGAATATTACGCCCCATGTCTTATTTCTAGACCCTGCAAAAGCCGTAAACGTTGTATCTGATAAAATACTTCCATGGAAAGTCTCAAAATTGTGAGTTGGCAACCGACTTCTCGTCTGCTGTTTACTTGTAGGGAAGTCAGTTTAGCACATAGGTAAACCAAGTGCAGTCTCCAGATAGGGCGGCGATCACCGATGTATCTGAAGTAGCGGATCTTCGTTCACTGTTATTCTCAGTTGCAAAGAACTTTATGCTTAATCACATAAATTCTCCAACACCTCAGTATGCAGATGATGTGAAGCTGCAGGGGGTCGTGAGAAATGGGAAAGAATCGATCTGACTGCAGTGAGACCTAAACAACGTGGAGAATAGGGTCAAGGAAATTGAATAAGCTTCCGGTATGAATAAATGTAGCACAGTGATCACCAGCACACCGATAGAGCAAAGGTTCTCCTACACCTAACATGGAAGCGGACTACTCTATGGGGAAAGATTAGAATAGTCATGGTTGAATAAACTAAACACAAGCACCAATTTTACAGGAGACCTAGCCACAGTCAATGAAAAAACTGGTTCCAGTTTCAGACATGTAGTTATATTTACACCTGAACTTTTCTTTCTGTTGTGAAAAGGTTATTTAGAAGTCCACAACTTTGCTGGTCAACCACTCCTAAAAATTACAGAAGAGGGGAACTAAAACGTATGATTGTTGTGCTGCTATATTTTGACTACACTAGCGTACACGTACATCTTAGTACTTCTTCGAGTTTATAATTGTGACCTAACGTTGCGATTACTCGACATCCACAACGTAATTCAAAAGGCACTTGCGAAGGAATACGATAGTGTATTATTGCAGCAATCAAAATTCAAAAATCGAGCGAGTACAAAAGATATCAATTGTTAACATGCAAGATTAAGAGTAATAAACAAATCAAAGTACAATTACACAATGAAAGTATAGTGCGATGATGAGTAATAAAACGGGTCACTACAATAGCCCCTCCGTAGAATGCAGGTAAATGAAGTTTACCTGTATTCGGAATGATATTGTAAATTACAAGGACAGAAAAAAAATATGAAAACCGAATTGAGGCTTTTTAGTTTTCTGAGGTTCGATTATAACTGTATATATTCGAAAATGTTAACAACTTTGAAACGAACTAAAATGTTTAGAAAGTTGTGCAACATGTAACAATAAAAGCAGAAAAATTATTATTAGAATAATAATGACGTTGTTATTGTAAAGAGTCACTACAACACAATCTCTTCAGGCTGATGCTTGAATATTCGAACTTAGTAAAGAGACAAACGTGACATTTTGAGTGCTCCGCTACTTAATGTCAGAAATGTGGTTGTAAGGGACATTTCATTGCTATGAGGCTGTCTCAGACAATATTTGTTCTGAGTGGCAAATATGCGGAACAGTTTGTGAGATTCGGCGGATACTCTCCAACCCCATTATCTCTGAAAAAACTGATCGCTTTTGGTAGAGTCGGTTCTGTTCAGAAATCAGCTGCATTTTTATCAGATGAATTGCCCGTGCGTCTTGCAAATATTATGCAGGAAATTCACCTTCTTCCAGAACGGCTTGTGAGGACTCCTTCTGCGTCTCTTGTGAGACAATGGTCTGTTGGATATTAATGCATAACCTCTTAGGTATGAGCAGAGCTTTTGCGATTTGGTGGATTTCGAGAAAATAACATGGAATGAAAACAGTCTTAATCGGTTCAACGAGACTCTTGCGAAAATTCGAAGCCGTCATACAACTGTGGTCGAAACCATGGCACAGGTTTTTTGCTTATTTCTCAATAAATATGCTGGTTGTATAACACAGGGTGTCATGGAAATGCAGGAAAAGTACAAAACTGATGTCATAACTAATAACCAGGTGCAGTACTTCTTAGACAGGTTCTACATGATGAGGATCAGTATTCGTATGCTGTTAAGCCAACATTGTAAGCGTGATATTTGTTTATACGGCTACTAGTTTTTTTTAGCTTTCACCTGTTAATGTATGTTGCTTTGTTATGGCTTTGATTTTTTATCTGTTCCTATGGTATTCATCTCAAAGTCTTCGACCCCGTTTGTTTAGACATGTGTTTTGGTATTTAAAAGCTTTCTTCCGAAATACTTAATGTTAATTTTCGGAGAAACTAGATTGAAAGTTTTTGTTTTGGTTAATTAATCTATGTTCAGGCTGTCTACGTTATAACAATATTTAATTATTAAACACCTTCGGTAGTTCGACTTTTGAAGTGAACCTTGATGTTGTCACGACTGTCTCAGTTCTCATACCGTTCACTTATAAATATAATGTGTTTTATTGCCAGTTGTGTATACAGTTAACAATATTATGAGAAACATTGCCTGGGTTTAAAATAATGCAAATTTTGGCTTTGTGTTCTTTCCAGTACTCATGTTTGGTTCCGAGTTGAATAAACACAGGAGATACGTCGGTTCCATTGATCCTGATTGCAACGTTCGAGAAATATTAGATGATGCATACGAAGATGCCAAATTTTTATGTGAGCACTATTATTCTGCCTCTCCTGAAATGAAAGTTCAAGTTCACAGTAGTAAGTAATACATATATATGCCATTTGTCTAAATCTAAAAAGAAATCTTGGAGGAATTATGTCTAGTACCACTGTTCTTTGTTAGCAGTAAAAGGAAGTGTCTGCGGGTTTTCTCCTCAGGTTATTTTTGTACAAAGCCCAAAATGCAGCAGTTTTTAGGTCATTATATATGCACCTAACATTTATAAGTATTTTTTGTAGGCTCAACAGCTAGCCTGTTTCCATGTAGAAATAGAAACAAGCTACACAGATGATATAGTCCTCCTAGGTGAAGACGCTGACTAAATCCAGAGTCTTCTGAACACTTGGAGCTGCGATCTAAGAATGTTTCGCATGCGATTCGCTCCTGCCAAATGTAAGATGATGCTACAGGGCTGAACTACATTGACTCCTAGCTTAGAAATAGGGAGTCAAGTGGTAGAGCGCGTTGACTGCTTCACTTATTTGGGAAGTTGCATCAGCCAACGCCAACGGGTTGATCGCTGACAAAATCTCATAACTGAAGGCTCGTTTCGCATATGCCAGTTTACGCCGTCTCTGACGTAGACATGATATCCGACTATCAACCAAAGGACGTGTGTGTGGCTCTGCAGTCCGCTCCGTCCTCCTTTATGGCTGTGAGACCTGGTCATTGAGAGTGGAAGACATGAAAAGACTAGCTGTCTTTGATCATAGGTGCCTGCGTTCTATCTCCCGTACTAGGTGGTATAATAGGGTGAGCATTATTGAGGTCAGGCGTCGAGTGCTAGGTAAGGAGGGGAAATCAATAGACGAAGCTGTGAAGTTACATCGACTGAGATGGTAAGAACATGTTTTACGCATGCCTAACCGTCGCCTTCCTCGACAGGTAATGCAGCTGACATAGGATCAGGTTGGAAAAGAGCCAGTAGTGGTCAAACTAAAACATGACATCAGTTAATGAAATCCACAACAGTTAGTTTAAGCAGGCCACGTAGGGAGATGTCGACTTCTTGGCTGGTTGGGGTCCTCGGGACGCTAGAAACCTATGGGTGGAGGCAGTCGGTGATATGGCTCAAAACTGTTCTCAATGGCGCAGATGCATCCACTCCTTGTGACTTATAATGCCGAGAAAAACTATATTGTTCTTCGATAGTACTATTCTTTTTGCCTTATATCACTGTTTGTTGTCTCTACTTTGCATTTCTTTTTACTTTCTTCTCTTTCTTTGTGTGCTACGTGGAGTGTAGCGACTCGAACTGCTGCACATCTGTGCAAAGTTCTACGTTGAAAACAGTTGGTCAGTCAATTTTTACTTTATCAGCACTGCTCAGTAAACTCACCTGTGCAAATTCGGTTGCAGGTGGAAAACTTTAGGTAACGACAATCAGAAACTAGTGTTAACATTTTAATTTAAATAGTTGTAAGAAACTACTTTCTGTTTTGTGCTTATCAGCATCTGAGCCATTTCTTTGAAACTGAACATCACACTTCCTTGTTATGTTTCTTAACTTAAAGATGTCTATTAACTTCATTAAGGTAGGCACTTGTTTGATAATTAAAATTCATTCTCTGTATTCGGTAAATCTGTCCAAGTGTAGTCTCTTTTTTACATGTATTCAACCCTAATTGGTGGTGTCAGCTTCCCAAAACAAAAAGTTGATTGGTGTTGTTCGAATCAAGTAGTTCCACGGAGTTATTGAATAAGCCCATTTGAAAAGTGAATGTAAATCTTTCATACTGTATTATCGTTAGATATTACAATGAATGATGTTTTAAACAACTTATGTTTGGCAGTAATACTGCGTGTTATGTGTTATATAACCTATTGTCTCTAACACCTTACCTTCCCATAAAATCAGCGGTTTGAATCCCGTTATATCTACTTCAATCATGATTTGGCAGTATTTTTAGCTTTCATAAATAAGTGTGGTTCATAACCTGATACAGAAAAACTGTGTTCCAGGTAACCGAGTTGTAATGTATCTTCGTTTGGGTATGTAGATTACTTGGAGTGATATGATTTTTTCCTTTTCTTTCCGGGAGCATGACAATGAGTAGCGTTTCTTACTAAAAGAGTGAGAAATATTTCCTGTCAGTGATATAATCTGCTGGTCTTCAGGTATATGCATTTTGGAGTCAAACACTTAAACATACTCTTTTTAGATTTTTTTTGCCTTGTGGTTCCGTTTCCAAACATGAGAAATTTCTTGAGGCCTTTCGTGAAAATCCGTTTCAGCTGATAAAATAATTTTGGAGGTCTTCATCAGCTGTGTATAAGTTGTTATTATTTATTGAAACAAAAAATACAATATGAGTACCAAGGGGTGCGCCACACAAAAGGTATTAAAACAAAAGTATAGGAAAAATAGGGTTAGAATATACGATGGACAGCATCCAGAAAGCAAGTAAGCATACTTGTCAAAGCTATCCAACCTGTGGTTCATTGCTTTACATTACTTTTGCAAAAGAAAGGAGGTAATTGCAGCTACCGACTTAACTTATCTCCTGGACCCCACCTACGGAGTAGTGGTGCACCAACAAATGCTAACCTGCAAGTATAGTTTCCCATTGATTTTATTAAATGATTTGTGTGAGGGCTTAGATGCTGCCTGAATGCCAAGACAGAAGCAAGTAGGTGTCTTGAGGGACCACTCCCCAAGCTTTTTACTTGAAGCCTGATTCACAAGACAGTGAAGTAGCTTCAGGAGCTGTGTTTCCATAGTTGCAGCTTACCAAAACAGGTTCATATGGCGTTCACTCTTTTCGGATTCCGGAGCTATATACTTGAGATTTGGGTTTCTCAGCTCCCCTAGGTGGAACTGCATGTCAACCAGTTCAGTCATAACCACAAGACTCACATCCACCCTTCCACTCTTTTGAAAACACCCGGGTTGCGTGAAGCAGTACCAAGTTATATACGGGTCAAATATAAGCTTAGTGTAACACTCACGGACAACAGACACAGCCAATGAAGGAAGAACACGAAGATGCGGAAGAAAAGGTCTTTATTACACCACGCAAGATTTAAACTGACCGGGTACAGAGTTATTTATTATCATTTATAACAAGTCTCGACAATCGGTCTTCTTCTTCCTCCAACAGTGCCACGTCTGCGTTCCTTCCTGAAAAATAGGAAATAGGAAACTCGTTTAGTGATCTCATACAAGTTTTTATATCATTACATCGCTCCCTCCCCTCTGAAGGCACTGTCCTCAGTGCCAGGCGACGGTATAGGATATGCACTACCTCCTTCGGTAGGCACCTCGAAGTAGGTCGTAGCGGGCGGTGGTTGCGAAGGTGTTGATGGTTCGTTGACAGCTGCTGGATAGTGGGGTTTCAGCTGGTTGTAATGCGCGGAGATGAGCTTTTCTTGGGGACGTCGCAGGTTCCGCAGGATATACGTAGTCGGGGGTCGATGCTGTACAATTTGATATGGACCTTGCCAGGGCGTGTAGAATTTGGGGCACGAGCCGGTAGGGGCGGACGGACGATGGAGCCACACATAGTCACCCGTGGAATAAGTGGGACCCTGGGCAAACCTGTCATAATTGCTTTTCTGATGTTGCGAAGAAGACTGTAGATGACGACGTGCCAGATTGTAGGCTATATCGAGGTGGTGGCGAAGGTTGCGGACGTAGGGAATTAAGTCGATCTTCTCATATGGTAGCAACGGTCTTCGGATCTCGACTGGCAGGCGAAGTTCACGTCCAAACAAGAGCAGAGCTGGAGAAAATCCTGTGGACGAATGAACGGAGGAGCGGTATGCTAGCAGGCACTGGGGTAGGGCATCGTCCCAGGTGTTCTCTGGTGCATTGTGCAAAAAGGCACGAAGAAGGTGCTTGATTGTTCTGTTCGTGCGTTCTACCAGTCCATTACCTTGTGGGTGATAAGGCGTAGTATGGGTCTTTCGGATGCCGAACGCATTGCAGATGTGAGCGATCAGAAGACTCTCAAACGCGGCGCCTTGATCGGAATGCAGATAAAGGGGGGCACCAAAGCGGGACACCCAATTATCGATGAATGCGCGCCCAATCGTCGGTGCATCTTGTTGCTGTAGAGGGACAGCTTCGCACCACTTGGTGAAGTAGTCAACCATGACGAGTATATACCGATTACCACGTCTCGATGTTGGTAATGGCCCAATAATATCTACTCCCACTCGATGATTAGGGCCCTCGGTCAACATGGGTACTAAGGGAGCTCGGGGGGTTGGTTTAGGGTGTTTGATCTGCGCACATATATCGCAATTACGGCAAAACTCCGTGATATCATGGTGAATAAGTGGCCACCAGAAGCGTTGACGGATGGCATGTTCAGTTTTCTGTTGGCCAGCGTGTCCCAGTTGCTGATGTACTTGACTGATGAGCTCGGGTACTTTAACGGATGGGACGAGTAGTCGGGGAGTGGTATTTGGTTCCACGATGTAAAGAACATCATCGATGAGTCGTAGTAGGCCCCATTTATCGCAGATGCACCGAGAAGCGGCTGGTAAGTCCCGTAGTTCTGTGGACGTCGGTTTGTCGTTCCCATGCTGTTGTCTTAAATAGATGGGCTGTATTGCCGTGTCCGCCGCTTGTAGGGAAGCCCAGTCAGTGTCAGCTGCAGCGCCGAGTAACACATTCAAGGTGTTTTCGCAATCTGTCAGGCGGGAGAGAGAGTCAGCGTTACCACGTCGTTTTCCGGGCCGATATTCGCACGTGAAATCAAACTCCTGTAAACGTTCTTGCCAACGAGCAAGTTGGCCCTCGGCATCGCGAAAATTTTGTAGCCACTGTAACGCCTTGTGGTCAGTCCGGACTCGAAATTTGCGCCCCAATAAGTAATGACGAAAGTATGTAAGAAAGTATACGAGGGCTAACATCTCACGGCGTGTCGTGGAATACCGCGTCTCTCTTTTGTCCAGCATGCGGCTAGCATATGCTATCACTCGTATTTGCCCATCAGGAGTTGCCTGCGAGAGAACGGCTCCGATTGCGTGTGCACTGGCGTCAGTATCGAGGATAAAGGGACCACTGTCAGCTGATGTGTCTGGAAACGATAGGACGGGAGGAGAAGTGAGACATTTTTTAAGCGTGTCGAAGGCTATCTGGCACTCATTTGTCCAGACGAATTTCCGTCCTTTTTCTGTCAGGCGGTGGAGGGGGGCTGCTATACTGGCGAAATTTTGGACGAAACGCCGATAATAGGAGGCAAGCCCCATGAAACTGCGTACGTCAGCTGTCGATTTAGGAGTCGGCCAGTTGACCACTGCTTGAGTTTTGCTGCTATCTGTACGCACTCCTTGTGGAGTAATCTCATGTCCAAGGAAAATAACAGATTTCTGCAGGAACTTGCATTTGGAGGCTTTCAACTTAAGATTACTCTTGCGTAGACGCTGAAATACGGCTCGAAGGTTGGCATGGTGTTCTTCGAGAGACTGGCCGAACACGATGATATCGTCTAGATAGATAAGGCATCGTTTGGGGACTAGCCCGGCAAGTACCGTTTGCATGAGCCGCTGAAACGTGGCAGGGGCGTTAGACAAACCAAATGGCATGGTTTCGAATTCGTACAACCCCGTGGGCACAACAAACGCAGGTTTTGGGCGATCTTCTGGACGAATTTCAACTTGCCAATAGCCGGAAGCTAGATCTAATGTGGAGAACCGCTGTGCCCCACCCAAAGCATCTAAGGTGGAGTCTATGCGAGGCAAAGGAAAGGAATCCCGTTGGGTGATGGCATTTAAGCGACGATAGTCTACACAAAGACGGAGGGAACCATCTTTCTTTTTTACGAGAACAATTGGAGATGCCCATGGTGATGTAGACGGTTTAATCACCTTCTTCCTTAACATGTCCGTTATCATGGAATCTAACTGTTGTTGATAGTGGACAGGTACACGTCGCGGTGGTACCCGAATGGGCAAGTTATCGCCCGTCTTAATCTCGTGTTGTACGACATTAGTTCGCCCCATTGCATGTCCATCGTCGAAGACATCACTGTACTCCTGTAGCAGGGCCAGAGTGTCTGCACGTTCTTTGGGATTAAGTAGAGGATTATCATGCAAATTCACCATAGTCACCTGGGGCAAGACACAGGCGTGGGCATGCTCTTTGTGGTTGACTGGCTGAACAAATGCAAGGTTATGGGTGCCTAGCCGTATTCGAAAACGTCTTAAGTCAATGACAGCGTTTTGTCCCGTTAGGAAGTCGACGCCCAGTATGGCGTCCCATCGTATAGCATCGCATATGACGAACGACTGAGAGCAATTAAAACCCTGAAACGTCACGGGGAGGATAGCAGTGTCGGTTATCTTGATAGGGACCCCATTGGCAGTAATTAGCTGTAGTTGGGTAGGGAGAGGTTTAGGTTTGACCCCGAGTTTTCGAACCAATTCCGTGCGAACGACAGAGGACGATGTCCCGGTGTCCACCAGAAAGGTGACGTCTATGTCTTGCAATTTACCCTCAAGGAGGAGGGGAGATTTCGAACATTTAACAAATGAAGACATATTATAATGTAGCTCACCTGATGGTTTCTTATTATGTCCACATTTCCATGCACGGCGGCCGTACCGACGACAGTAATAACATTTACTTCTGTCGCCGCTATCTTTGGAGGAATTTGCAGGTTGGCTGGTTGAGGGGGCATTGAACTGGCGTTGTCTTTGTGCGGGAACGCATGTCTTCCGCTCGGCGGTCCCGAGAGCATAGCAAGACGTACTGGTCGATGGGGTTAGAAAGCGTTCGGCGCTTTCGAAGCGTTTAGCCACCTCGATGGCTTCTGAGATGGATTTCGCTGGCTGACGTAAAAGTTGGCACTTGAGATCATGCGATAGGACGCCCTGTGCGAACCGGTTGCAAACAGCGTCGTCTCGGCTCGTGTTGGCCAGGGTAGGAAATGCGTGTGCTGCCAACTCGCGAAGTTGATGGAGGTAATTGACGGCTGTTTCGCCGGGCTCTTGACAGCGGCTAAGGAAAATTTGCATGTAGACTGAGGGACTGGAATCTTTAGCAAAACATTCGTCGAGAATATGCCAGTTGTAGCTCATGGGCTTGAGTGCGGAAAAGCCCCCAGTGATTGCATGGCTAGCATAAGCTGGGTGTGTTGTGCGTGTGCAGGAAGACCAGTTAGGGCAGATTCCATGCGTATTTTCCACATTTCGTAGTCGCTATTTGTATCCAATATCGGAAGACCGCGCATCGGTTGAATGTGTTCTGGGGCTGAAGTGGGTGGGTTGACTTGGTGGTTGGAATTGACTTCAGGAGGGTCAGCAGAATCGGATTTCATGTCGAAATTGAATTTGGAACACCTCCGACACCAATTGTAACACTCACGGACAACAGACACAGCCAATGAAGGAAGAACACGAAGATGCGGAAGAAAAGGTCTTTATTACACCACGCAAGATTTAAACTGACCGGGTACAGAGTTATTTATTATCATTTATAACAAGTCTCGACAATCGGTCTTCTTCTTCCTCCAACAGTGCCACGTCTGCGTTCCTTCCTGAAAAATAGGAAATAGGAAACTCGTTTAGTGATCTCATACAAGTTTTTATATCATTACATTAGAAAGGAGCTTAAAACGGATTTAAATGGTTGTCGACCAGCTGTGCATCTCTTCATATCAATTGAAACAACAAGACCCTGAGGCCCGGGTAAACCTCTGGATTTATTACCGTGTATCCGTATTTTTCAAAAATGGTATTCACCGAGCGTTATTATTATCTTTCACTCCTTCCGTTGCTAGGTATTCTACACTGAAATAATTCTTATAATGATGTACCATGATTAAACATATATACTATGGATGACATCTGATTGTTATTCACATTAGTTTAAAATAATTTATAGTTATTCGTGTCTTGAATAAAGGAATGATAGTCAGTCGCCTAATTGACAGGTCAATAAGCACGTATGTTTTTGTAATGACGTTATGTAAATGGCGTCATGAAAGTTCTGGTTAATTAATTTCGACGGCTAATGAAATATATTCTCTTTCTGATATTCACATCTTTATTCAGTTATTGTGAATAATTATTGCATATATACATTTATTCATAATACAAGCATGCTACCACTCTTTTGTTTTGTACAGGCGAAGATGGAAAGATAGAATTTGTCTATGTACCCTCCCATTTATATCATATTTTGTTTGAACTACTAAAAGTAAGTTTGAGTCTTCCTAGCTTTCTTTGTTTTGATAAGTAACTATAAAAAAATACATGGTGCTTAATGTATTATTGTTGAAATGTTAGTTTCTAACGTGGACATTTTGACAATAACTTAAGATTAAAATAATGATTAGTAGTCGAATCCAGGACGTGCATCTTGTCCTGTTTGGGACTCATCAGTCGAGTGTACATGCATCCTCAATAAATCATAGTATTTCCAGTGAGACTCCAACTGAACACCCATCATATATTGTATTAATAGTGCTCATGCTTTGTCTTCTTTCGAAGATAACATATACCCTACTCCTTTTCTCATGGTGAGTGAAAATCATAGAAGTTATAATTATTCTGTGAGCTATGTAACGTTAGTTACAAACGGTTTAACCTTCAAAAATTTGATTGTCGAAAGGTGTACTGATGAGGGCTATCTCCATTACTGGGTAGACACTGTTTGGAGCTGCACCGGCGCATATGCTTGAAAACTGTTTGAAATTTTAATCAATAGTACTTGCAGTTGCTGGTGAAATAATTATACAGAATTGGATTAATCTTCGAATATGTGATGCCTGATTAATTATTTATTAGTGGATATAATGGCACTTTGTATTATACTTAATTTACACTGTGATAATCACCGAAAGTTGATGTGAAGGTAAGTTTTGTCACGTAGCCAACTAAAGACCATGACTTCTATTCCTGATGGTGTCGTTTGTGTACACTGCTAGAGTGTGCTAAAGTAGGAGGATGAAACAACTGTACAGTGTTTCATAATTTTTATTTTCTCTCTAAATAATTTCACTTACTGATGAACTCTATCTTTAAAAAAAACTAAATATTTATACCCTTCATTTTGTTTAGATAATTATCTTTACAATATAAATTTGTCCAGTTGTCCTTCCTTCTTAATTTTAGATAATGTCTAAGATAAATGGGAAGCTGAAAGTCAGACATAACTTTTAGCTTCCAAGTAAATCAACAGCTAGTGACAATTCCTTAATTATCTGTTAATATTATTCTCTATTATCATTTTATTAGGTTAATAGCTCATATCACAAGTCGTAACTGAACTACTATTCGAATAAATGATCATCTATAAAAACTGAAGTGACATAAACATTTTTATTTATTTAGAATTACTATTCGCTATGTTTGTTCATTTACCTCCTGCACAGAATGCCATGCGTGCAGTAGTCGAACATCATATTAAAGATGATTCCCTTCCGCCTGTTGAAGTATTGGTATCAACTGGACGAGAAAATGTGACAATTAAAGTAAGAGCGATTCAGAATACTCTGTGTTTTAACTTGTATTTCAATTTTATAAGAATATGTTTTCTAAACAATTTGCTCATGTTTTGGTACTGTAGATAGGATTTAATATTATCCTACGTGTATTATGAGCACTAAATTGTACACGAAACGTCATCGGTAATTACTACTGTATAGAATTGTGTGACTATCAAAATAAATTTTATCCATAATGGAATTGTACTCTACCGCAGCTCCCAAGTTTTATACTTATATGATTGAATACAACATTAGTGTTTTCAATTAAATAAAATCAATAGTATAGATAGATTATATTTCAAAAGTAGCAGTAAGAGGAAATATGCACTAATGTAACACTAAATTGAATATCAGATAAATTAAAGGAAGCAACATAAGCATAAGAAAAGTACTTACACCGGTCAATAATACACATTTTCACAGCTTTGTTCCTCTCCAGTATAAGAGAAATTTGATAAAGACCTTAATCTATAGGATCAGAGCTATTTGTTCAGAAAATGCAATTGAAGACGAAATTAAGGTTGTATACTACACATTAATTGAAAACAGCTACCTTGAAAAATTCATCACAAAACACATGGTCGAGAAAGCAGAAAAGAATTCGTCTGTATGTGTTAACATGAAGCCTCTATATATACGACTACAATTCAAAGGTGATACAGAGCCAATTGAAGTAATAACCAACAAGTTGAAAAGGTCGACTCAGAGAACGTTTAATACAGGTAAGCTGCAGGTTATATTTTTCACACAAACGGTTGTTATTCCGAAACTGGAAGATGAAGCGCCTACGCTGACCACCTCTAATTGTATCTATCAATTCAACTGCTCCTGTAGAGCTAGTTATAGTGGCCGTTGCTCTAGGAACCTAATTTTCCGTGCTGCGGAACACCCAACAGTGTGGTTAAACAAAGGTGTTGTTAAAACTGTCAACAGTTCTATATTGGACCACCTTGTCCAAACAGGCCACAAAGCTACCATTGAAGAGTCTTCCTCTATCATTCATCAGGTATACCGAATAAATTACCGCAAACCCCTAGATACTGAACACTCCAAACAACAGAGACCATTGCAATTTGCTTAAATCAACCGGAGCTCTGTGTGCAAAAGAGACAGGTTCAGCCACTATTACTACCTTGACCTGCTCTTGAGCCTATAAATTCATAAGTTCTGTGTTGCTTCTTTTAATTTATCTGATATTTAGTTTAGTGTTATATTAATGCATATTATCTCTCTCTTACTGATACTTTTGAAGTATAATCTATCGATACTATTGATTGTATGTAATGGAAAACATTAGTGCTATATTTAACCATATTTCTTTAATTATTACTATCATATAAATGTAGAATCTGAGGACCAGTTTATCGAAAAGGATATTCTTTGTTCATGAATTAGTCTTTGAAATTATCAATCGCATCTTTAGTCAATTTAATTTTGACTGGGTAGTTGAGAGTGTCGTGCAAAAATTACGTGCCTCTTGCAAAGCTTGGATTTCCTACTTCGTTCTTTGTATTTGACTAACATCATAAGCAACTGCGTGATTAGTATCAGATAAATTCTTCTTCAGGATTATGGGTATCTTTGTGTTTAGTGAGTATTTGTGACAGGTAGTCGTAAAAAGTAAATGCAGTGTTATAAAGTTCGCATAATCGGATGTACTGTTAAAACATTATTACAATGTTTACTGATAACGCTTAATATGTGCCAGTCATAATTCCTGAAATAGTAATATCTTTTTTACGGACAGTATTTATAAAATGTGGAGAATTTTCAGGAGTTTATTGCATGATATTTTCCCTTCGTACAATATCTTCAATATTATTTGACAGTATATCCTGTGACACAATGGTCTCTGAGCTGAAGCACAAACCATTCCATTATGATATATCTGCCTTGTCCCCTTCAAGAAACCCACGATATCTGGTTGAAAGCCATTTGTAAGATCTTCAGAAGTACATTTTGAGACCCAAGGACGCGTGTGTGTGGCTCTGCAGTCCGCTCCGTCCTCCTTTATGGCTGTGAGACCTGGTCATTGAGAGTGGAAGACATGAAAAGACTAGCTGTCTTTGATCATAGGTGCCTGCGTTCTATCTCCCGTACTAGGTGGTATAATAGGGTGAGCATTATTGAGGTCAGGCGTCGAGTGCTAGGTAAGGAGGGGAAATCAATAGACGAAGCTGTGAAGTTACATCGACTGAGATGGTAAGAACATGTTTTACGTATGCCTAACCGTCGCCTTCCTCGACAGGCAATGTTAGCTGACATAGGATCAGATTGGAGAACCTAGCAGAGCCACACACGCGTCCTTTGGTTGATAGTCGGATATCACGTCTACGCACGAGATGGTGAGATAACTGTCCTTCAGTTGCGTCCTTGGGTCTCAAAATGTACTTCTGAAGATCTTACAATTGGCTTTCAACCAGATATCGTGGGTTTCTTGAAGGGGACAAGGCAGATATATCATAATGGAATGGTTTGTGCTTCAGCTCAGAGACCATTGTGTCACAGGATATACTGTCAAATAATATTGAAGATATTGTACGAAGGGAAAATATCATGCAATAAACTCCTGAAAATTCTCCACATTTTATAAATACTGTCCGTAAAAAAGATATTACTATTTCAGGAATTATGACTGGCACATATTAAGCGTTATCAGTAAACATTGTAATAATGTTTTAACAGTACATCCGATTATGCGAACTTTATAACACTGCATTTACTTTTTACGACTACCTGTCACAAATACTCACTAAACACAAAGATACCCATAATCCTGAAGAAGAATTTATCTGATACTAATCACGCAGTTGCTTATGATGTTAGTCAAATACAAAGAACGAAGTAGGAAATCCAAGCTTTGCAAGAGGCACGTAATTTTTGCACGACACTCTCAACTACCCAGTCAAAATTAAATTGACTAAAGATGCGATTGATAATTTCAAAGACTAATTCATGAACAAAGAATATCCTTTTCGATAAACTGGTCCTCAGATTCTACATTTATATGATAGTAATAATTAAAGAAATATGGTTAAATATAGCACTAATGTTTTCCATTACATACAATCAATAGTATCGATAGATTATACTTCAAAAGTATCAGTAAGAGAGAGATAATATGCATTAATATAACACTAAACTAAATATCAGATAAATTAAAAGAAGCAACACAGAACTTATGAATTTATAGGCTCAAGAGCAGGTCAAGGTAGTAATAGTGGCTGAACCTGTCTCTTTTGCACACAGAGCTCCGGTTGATTTAAGCAAATTGCAATGGTCTCTGTTGTTTGGAGTGTTCAGTATCTAGGGGTTTGCGGTAATTTATTCGGTATACCTGATGAATGATAGAGGAAGACTCTTCAATGGTAGCTTTGTGGCCTGTTTGGACAAGGTGGTCCAATATAGAACTGTTGACAGTTTTAACAACACCTTTGTTTAACCACACTGTTGGGTGTTCCGCAGCACGGAAAATTAGGTTCCTAGAGCAACGGCCACTATAACTAGCTCTACAGGAGCAGTTGAATTGATAGATACAATTAGAGGTGGTCAGCGTAGGCGCTTCATCTTCCAGTTTCGGAATAACAACCGTTTGTGTGAAAAATATAACCTGCAGCTTACCTGTATTAAACGTTCTCTGAGTCGACCTTTTCAACTTGTTGGTTATTACATCAATTGGCTCTGTATCACCTTTGAATTGTAGTCGTATATATAGAGGCTTCATGTTAACACATACAGACGAATTCTTTTCTGCTTTCTCGACCATGTGTTTTGTGATGAATTTTTCAAGGTAGCTGTTTTCAATTAATGTGTAGTATACAACCTTAATTTCGTCTTCAATTGCATTTTCTGAACAAATAGCTCTGATCCTATAGATTAAGGTCTTTATCAAATTTCTCTTATACTGGAGAGGAACAAAGCTGTGAAAATGTGTATTATTGACCGGTGTAAGTACTTTTCTTATGCTTATGTTGCTTCCTTTAATTTATCTGATATTCAATTTAGTGTTACATTAGTGCATATTTCCTCTTACTGCTACTTTTGAAATGTAATCTATCTATGCTAATTAATCACAGATGCCTTTTCCATCTGTTTCACTTTTATGACACACTGCTCTTCGTTGTCGTTGGGAAGACATATTATGATTTTTGATTTGAGTAGCTTTCGCTCCTCGTCATAATCGGAGGTCGCTGGAATCAGTCTTCCTGCATCAATCAGTTCGGATTAGGTGGTAGAGATACAATGGCTCTTTCTAACTTTAGGTTTCACTTTATTAACATGTTTTACAGCTGTGCTACAGCTAGCTGTATGTTATGCCAGGCTACCTCAGGGGGAGTCCTGCTGTCGACCTCAGATGCTCGTTTCTCTATCTCCTCCTTAAATAGGGACTCAGACTCTCGACCTAGCTGAAGACGTGACTGCTTCGCTGCCAACAATTTTTTGTCCGTTTAATCGTAAGCATAAACGTACGCGAACCAGTGCGTGATCAGAGTTACGCACGTGTTCCGGAAGGAGCGACAGTCTTCTACTGACCCTCGCCAACGATACCCGCTAGCTAGGTGGTCTATCTGGGTCCAGCGTTGATGTGGTGATGGAGGTCGCCAGGTTATGCAGTGTCTCTCTCTGTGCCTAAAGTTAGTGCTCACTAGGGACAGATGAACACATAATTAAAACGAAATAAATCCAAGTAATTAGATGCAGTATGAGAGACAGAAAATTTTGGTAACCGAGAAGGTTTAAGCAGGCCGTCGTCTTCCCATGTCCTGGCGATTTCTAAAAGAATATTTCCTCTGACTTTTTGACATATTAAGAAGTTAAGGCACAGAACTGTAGAAGACGATCACTGTTGTCACTTCGTCGGCAGGGAACTCCATATGCACCACCTACATACTTCTCAGTCTGGCACAACTTCCCTACTTGGGCTTTGAAGTCACCTGCTAAAACAACTGTATCTGAACGTTTTTAATTTTTGAAGCAAACAAGAC